GTACCCCTCGGCACGCTTTCGTGCTTCTTCTTTCTTTTCCTCTTTCCGTGTCTGTTCGCTTCGTCATGCCACCCTCTACGTATTTCATCTCCCTTTATATGCAGCGTATAAGGTGCATACATTGTTACGGTTACATCATAATTAAATCTGAAATGACATCCATGAAAGAGATGGATTTGTCTAGAATATCGATTTTTGCAATATTGAGAATACAATTCCGTTCCTTAGATTTAATTAGATTATTTCTTATAAAACTGACGATTTTGTGTGTATTTTAAATTTTCAAATTTTATTTTTATTGTCAGTTTAAACATATTTACTAAAAAGATGTAAGATAATATTTTACTTTGTCATCAAATAAGTAGCCCTATCAAAAAATTAATACAATTGAATATTCGAGAATGTTAATTTTATTAAGTAAAGATTATGATTTATTTTTATTATTAACTTCAATATATTACAAAGATATAAGACAATTGACGACTTAGAATAATTCTAGCCTAATCATGAAATCTATCTTAGACAAAACAGAAAATTGTGAAAAGGATTATTGATAAGGCTATTGATGATATTGATTAAAATCGTATCAGAATTTAACTTTCACTGCTACTTCAGGTTGTAAATAAGAGGAATGTGATTTCCATTTCATCATTTTGACATTTTGATTTCGTTCTGTGTCATCATGCGATATTGCGACATAACTTCGTTAGAACATTAGTTCTCATTTGGATTATCTCTATACGGAAAGCGGAATACGTATAACTTGCATTGACCCGATCTCTGTGTTACGCCCACAGGCCGTTCAGTCTAAATATATCGACGATTTTTCGCGAGAGACATAATCGAAACATTGCTATATCGACGCGACGCATTGATATCGCGAGCTTTTTGCGGAACATTTTTATGCCTTACGCAATCACATTGACACTGCGATCATCTCGATTTTTCGAAAAGATAAAAAAAATGCTCTTCAAAAAAGTCAATTAATTCAAGAACTTCATTATTCACAGAAACTGTAAATACATCGTTAAGTAATTGGGATAGTTTTACTGAAATCTTGTAAAAAATATCTAGCGCAGAAAAAAAGAGAGTCTGTTTGCATTAATCAGAATTCTAGTAAAAAATGGACAAATCGGAATTTTCTGTCTAAATCTATTATAATTTTGGTCTTGAGATAATCAAAATTCTGAGAATTCTCGGATTTTTCCTGAGTTCCTCTGGGAAAATTCTGGTCACGCCTGAAAAACGTTGCTTTCTTAACGCGCATATCAGTTAAGAGATTCCGTCTTATTTTATTATTTTATTAGCCATTAATCAATTCTGCCTTGTAAATTACGATGAATAGCGCGTTATTGTACGGCGATACCTTCGTAAGTCGCTCCACATCGGTTAGTTAAAAAGCGCCATTATTTACACGTTGGGATTTTTACGGAATAGCCGGTTCTTGCGCCGTCCGTCGGTGCTAAATATTGTATAATGTAATCTGCCTGTAAGTAAGTCGAATGTGTTTCGCTTCGTGAGATCGACCCAACTGGACCCCAGTGCGCATGCTGTACCGTTTTTTTTAAAGCCGGCTCATTTACCATCTCGCGGTCCAGCGGTGTCAGAGGCGAGAGCGACGGTTCCGCGGCGCATATATCGATGCACTTTATGTCCCTGTGTGGTCCGGTTGTCAATGCAACCGGGAAATTTAAGATAAGAGAGGCCCCACGGACTTAAATCCGGACGGAGGACGCCTGCCATTACCGAAATCGGGGCCAAGCGGAAAGTTAAATCCCCCATACCTTAAAATGTACCGGTGCAACTGGGCCTAATTTATGACGTCTTTACGCGCCCCATCAGTCCCTCCAGATTTTTCTCACACGCGTTATCCCCCGATCGGGTCCCCCAAGACGAAATGAGAGAACTGCGATAAGGATAACCGAAGAGATTTATTTAGAGGATTGCGACGAATGTTTATAAATTCCTTCTTTCTGTATTAATTAAAGAAGAAAAATCCGCGATTTTAGAAAGTACACGTTTACAGATTAAACATCTCGTTTAAATATCTTGAGTAAATTTATTGCCCAGGATATTTTTAATTGCGTCGTTCAATTGATAATTTACGTATCTATTATATAACTCAACGTTTAATAGATACGTAGATTATTTTCGATTTATAATGAATACTTGTTTCGTAACGAGACTCGAATTCTGTATAAATACGAAAAACATTCCAATTTGTTAAGATTCAAAGCAATGTGTAAAAATAAAATTAAGAATGAGCAAAATTCAGAAATGTTGTAAGGTGTCAAGAGTAATTAGACGATTAGAAGATAAGAATACTATCACTACATTCAGTACTGTTAATATTTTCATTGGTAAAATTTTCTTTATTAGTAAGGTAAAAGAACACGATACATTTCTCTCAGTGTCAAAAATTAGATACAATGTTTTTTGTATTTATATATAGAATTGAAATTTTTCGTTATGAGCATATTAATAAATTGCTTGACACCTAACGATCTTATCTTGTACTTTGCCCGTTCTTAGCTTTATTTCTGCATATTGATTTGCAAATTACGAGCTGTATGAAACTTATTTACTGTTAAGATTTATCTTGAAATACGTAACCTGCGAAATATTTATTTCCTTTCATACGCCCCTAAGAAATTCGAGATTATATTAATATTTCAAGACACGAGATACTCATACGGAATGCAATTAAATTAATTAAACAGAAATACTGCTTACATGTACTCGTAACATGTATTTACTTTCACCTTATCCAGGAAAGCCTGGAAATTCTAGTTAAGCCATCGCGATTACGCGATAGTTGCAAAGATTAATGATGGATTCAAGCCCAAATCAATTAAGTAGCAAACGAGGAGGCTCTAAAGATGGAAAGATTCTGGCTCTTTGATACAATGCCGCTCTGAATGGCAAGTTCACACCGGATACGTTCCGAGAAAGTCAATCCCCGAAGAGAAATGAGACAGATCTCGGAACATGTCCATTCTTTCCTGCAGAGACAAGCGGTTACCTTAGGAAATCTACACGAGAGCAGAGAAAGACAGAGAGAGAGAGAGAGGGGGGGAAGGGGGGAGGTTTAAAAAGAGAGGAGGGGCAGAAAACGGAAGAGAGTGAGAGGAGAGTCTTAACGATCTCAGGATGCGGGCGACTTTGGGGGCAAATTATCGGCCTACGGCCAATTACCAGGTGGAGGCGCCGATATATAGAAGAGAGCGGTTGCCGGAGAAGTTCCGAGAATCGTCCTGCCGGCTAAAAATAAGATCCCACCCGGGAGCGGTGATTATGTTCCGAAAAAAGAAGAAACCGGGCGAAACGCTCGCTCTCGTGTGCAGGTGGCGAGTGGGATGAGGAAGAAGAGAGGTGGAACGAACCACGGATGGTATAGACGATACAGACGTAAGAGGGAAAAAGAGAGACACAGGGAGTGGGTAGGGGGAGGAGGCGAAAAGAAAGAGAGTGAGAAAGGAGGGCCTCCTCGTGGTGATCGTGCGCTGGGGCCTCGGTTAATGAAGTTGTCGGTTGAGGACGTTTACAGGTAGAGCCTACCTGCGTGTGGTCCATTCACAGCGACTGCTGCAGGACTGGTTAAGAGTTGCTTTACATCTCAACCTATGTGTGTGCAAGCCGGCCGGCCGGCCGGTCAATCGAAGGAGAAGGAGGAGGAGAGCGAGAAGATGATGAGGTATATTGGTATACCCGAACATGCGAATGTCCGTCGTTACATATACGAGTGCTCTCGATGAACAGTCATGCCACAACGACGTCGAATCGCGAGGTCAAATCCCCGGTTTCTCTCGGAGATCATGTTTTTAAACATCTCATTCCGAAAGATACCTTCGAGCTGCACGATTGCTTTAATCTGACAGAAAGCAGTATGATTGAAAGATAGGAAAGGAATATAAAAGAATTTCGCAACGAGTGAAAAGATGATTCTTTGGAAAAACTTTTTTGAAGAAGCTCCATATGTGATAAACTTTATGATTTATTATCTACGATCCCATGAACGCCAGGGGGGTTTTTTTTTAGAATCATTCATTCTTAAAGGAAGGCGAAAGCTGAAAGAGCCAGCTTTACTTCAGCTTTAAGATATCTATTTTTAGTTTCAATTCGTCTAATTTGGTTACGAAAATATCTATTATTAGAAAAAGCCGAAAATAATAAGACGAGACTATAAACACATTCCTGGTATATGTCGAAAATAGAACAAACAATTCCAACCGAAGAGTATTTAGGATACATTCCTAATAACATATGTGAATGTTTCTCATGCTTTCGTTGCTATGTTATCGTCGTGTCAATTTAATTTCGTCGCTAATCATATCCTTCAATTTAGTCTGTTATCAGTAAAAATATGAATTAATTTTTAATTACTCGCGTTAAAATTAATTTTAATTTTAATTAATTATATATA